AAGGGAAACTGAACGTGCGAAAACCTTTGGGGGAGTATCGAGAACGTTCGCCCGTTGACAATTTGTGCGAAACACGTCACGAACCGCCTGTGTAAATACGGGAGGGGTTGTATGGACGAAACAAGGTAGGCACCAGGGCTTATGCTAACAGGGTAAATGCCAGTTTTTGACTGATTTTAAGGGTATATTTTGGCTGAACCTTGTAGTTCAAAGGGTTCAGTCAAAACCCATTCGTATAAGTTCAGGGCTATCTCTAGCACCACCCTTTCCGTACAGAAAGTTTTCAGGGGTACCTGTTTCTTTTTAACTCTACTACCCCCCCCCCCCTCTCCACACACACACCCCTCCTCTTCCCCCATGCTTCCCCCACTCAGTTAGTCATTTCACACCCGTCATTTTTCCCCAAGTTGTGGCGGTTTTTTCTCCCTCCCTCTCCCTCGCACCTCTTCCCCCTGGTCTTACTGCTGCGTATTCATAAAAAAAACTATTTTTCCAACCTCGAATCCGCCTCAAGAGAGAAATTTTGAGACAAAGTTTGTCTAGGTTTCCATGCCAGTGGTAAGGCAAAATGCCATGCCTTGAGCTTTTGTTGCGAGTGTGGTAATTGGAGGCCTTACTTCCTGGCAGTTTTTCCAATACTGCCTCAGTGGTCGTACAATTTCTGTATGCCAAGGGAGGTTTGGCCAAGCCCTTTGAGTGGTTTTTGTGAAAGCTCTTTTTTCTAAGGGAAGATTGTTTCTAAGCCCTAAGGGTAACTTTTGAGGGCCGCCCTTTCTTTCTGAGCGCCCCAACAACCTAGCATAAGGGCACGGAACCTAAGGAACGAACGCGCAGGTTAAGTTCGAACATGGGGTGGTTACATAGCTCGCAAATTTTGCGAAAACACCTCGCAGACGCATCGCCCCAAGTACTCGAAACAGCCAAGGAAAAGGCTTGCTCCCCTGTCCAAACAGCCACGTCCTTTGACAAAACCAGCCACGTCGGAACAACACTAGAACCACGAACATGCCACGCAGCACAACGAATCACAAAAAAAAATGAGCGAAAACACAACCATCGCCAACACAACTAAGTACATGCGGCTCAACGCCAATGTCCCACGCAAACCGCGAGAAAACCCATGCAGTAGAGGCAAGGCAAATCGTGCACACTGGCGACCACTAGTACAAAAATGCCCAACCAGTCAAAGTAAAATCACTTCCTTGCCCACCCAATTCCCTGCCTCTCGCAACCACCGCGTGCTCTCACCTCGCCATGGAAGGCTCCCATGCGGCATCCAATTCTCCAAACGGGTACGATAGCATTCCGCCCTCAACCGTCGCCCCCACCAATGTTGACACTCCAGAGGAGGGTGCTCCCAACACCCAGGAGTCCCACGTTTGCTCTGACCGCCCCACGCCGTGACAGAGGGCGAAGGCCCATCGCGGAAAGTAAAGTGCAAAATGTCACGGAAAAGTCACATTTCCGATGCATTGGCGAAGCTTTAATGGCCCTGTACGGTGACGACCCCGGCAACCAATTGGCCCCGTGTCTGGGCCGACACTTCGCGCGAGGCGAAAATGTGTGTTTTGCATCCCATCGTAGTCACTTTTATGCATCGGGGATTGACGCCACGTGGCGGCGTCTACCAGCCACCTGGAACACACCTCCACCAGTGCTTGTCTGACAAATGTGCCAGTGCTCGCGATCGCCGACTTGAACGAGTAGACAACCCAACCGTGCGCACATAGCCAGCAATTCGCTGGCGCCACACTCAGGTCTCGTCGCCAATTCGCACACGACGTTCAGAATATTCGACCCCCGGGGCCCCCCAGCCATCGGATGCCTCCACAGATGCTCCATAGGCATGTCTCTTATGCACGCGTTACGGGCCTACACCCCGGGATCTGGTCCACCCAAGTGTACGCGGATCGCGCAAACCTGTCTTCTCGCATATACCACAACAGGCTGCCACTTGTGGGATACCGTGCCCCCGCCAACTGTACGCCGATTAGGCAAGCAACGTGCAACATCGATGGCACAGCATTCGCCAAATGGACTGCCCAGATTGCGGCCCATTGGCACGATGCCACGGCGGAGCGACAAGTATGCTGTGGCCAACGTCCCCTGCGCGCATCGGAGGCTGCGGGCATCGACATGTGTACAGGGACGATGCAGGCGCGCTGGCATCTACGGGCCAACGCGTGGTGCGGCGTACGTCGCGGCAACCAATACACGCGCACATTACCGGTACAACGTCTAGTGCGGCGCGCCACATTTCGAGCGCACATTTGGTTCGGACAAAAATTGGGGCCGTAAAAAAATGTGACATAAACTTACAGTCACACAAAATGCATTACGTGAGTCACAATATGTAGGCACCACATTGTGCCGAAAACTTCTCAGGACATGCATCCCCCGTTCATTAGACTATCGGCGACATCAATGACACCACATTCATGCAAATGCTACGGCAGTAAAAAACGAGAGAAAACGCTGCAGAAAACACCCGCGCCCGCTGCCCCAACCGTGCGTGGGGTGGCAACAGCTCAACTGTCGTGGGGGGTTCAACGCGGTCATACTCGGGCTGTACAGTCATCGTTGTCGGATGATGCGGATGGCGTGTCTGCGGCCTCCGCCGCCTGCACCTCGCCGTGAAAGTTGGGCCTCAGGTTGTCAAGGCCGCAGGCAAACAGCCGCAAGCCATGGCGGCCTTACGCCCAGGAGTCGCGCGCGGGGTCGTTTTTGGCGCTTGTTCATCAATGGCCGCCGCGACGGCCTCGTAGGAGAGGGCGTGGAGCCGCCCCATGTCAGCCACATTGTCGCTGGCCAAGTTGGACAAGCCGGGTTTGCGGGAGTCCTAGTTAAGGATGGCGTCGTCGACCTGCATTTTGCCAAAGAGTAACTTCAGACCTCGGCACGTGTGCGTGTATGCTTATAACAAATGACACACCTACCACGTGCTCCAACCACACACAGTGGCACAGCTTCAGCGTTAGTGGGCCAGAGGCTTTCTTCGGCTTGTATGCTGCATGGGTGCATGCCGTGAACACACCAGACGCGTACGGCAACTTCTCGCATTTTGCGATGTGCCACCTCGACAGCGCCATAAATCCTGCGCACAGAGTGACATGCAGGCTGAGGGTCAGGCATAGTGCCATCACGTGTTGAGTCGCAACATGGGGCGCAGGTGACAATAAACGATAGTGCACTCACCATCGTCGCCCATGGTGGAGCCGTAGTGCGACATGACATTGTCGATGGGCCGCGCCTCGTCGGGCGCCCATGGGCTCAAGGCGTCACGCACGTCGCGGAAGAGCCCGAGCATGGGCAGCGCAATGTCGTGCTCACGGGCAGCGGCAGACGTCTTTTGGTCGCTGAGTGTCCTGTTGAGGTCCCCTCGATGGGACTTGTCCGAGGCCATCGCTAACGCTACGTACTTTGTCGGCAACACCTCCATCACTGCGCACAGACCGGTGGTCTTGTCGTCAACACTTGGGTAGAAGTTGAGCTCGGAGTTCGGTCTTGTAAAAAACAGCCAAATTCGCACAAGCTGGCATATTTTCTGCCAATCAAACAAACAAGCATGGTGTCATGCATGGCTATGGTGGGTCTCTCTAGGCCGGGCCACAACGGCAACCCATACACGGGCCTCTACAGGACCACTGTGACGTTACCTTCCATGCTTTATCCTGAGGAAACAGATCCATCACACGTTGAAGAATGGGGGACTTATGCACTTCCTGAGAAACGGGAGGGTCGTCGGCATCCTCGTCCGGCGAGGAGTCGCCCGCACCACTCAACAGCGTCTCCTTGTGCCTTGAAGGGCGCCCACTGCTGCGGGACCGCACGCCATGGCGACGCTTCCTTTTGCCCGCGGTCTCAACGGTGATAGATGCCATAAGTACTGTCTCCAACCGCTCTAGCGTGCGGGCGGTCGTCTCCAAGAGCTGCATGATGATACGGAACTCCCCGCGAGTGGCGTACTCGTTGTACGATCCATGCCGTTCTTGCACCGAGACGTCGTTCTCGTTGGCGGCTCCGCCAGATAGCACATGGTCTGGGTTGTTCTGAGAATCATTTCGAGTCACAACGCTGGCGTTATCCCCGTTGCGCGCCTGGCTCGAAGCGAGCACGTCGTGGACACTGCGCATATTGTCGTCCCGACCTGCGGGGCGCCCATCATTTGATTCACGCGCCTCGTCTTGTCCGTCGGCCACGTTGACGAACGGCACGGACGACACACGCTCAAGTGCGGGTGTACGGGGGGGGGGGGTCACCAGTACCTCCGAGCATGCGAATGGACAGACGGGAATAGGCGGGGCGATGTGCGGTGATTCTGTCAGTACTGAATAGTTAGACTATGAACGGTAGTCCACGTACGCATGCAACCACTACGTGGGCGCAAGAGCATGCGTATACATTTTGTGCTGCCCCTGCCGCACTTGGCATTCACAGCTGACCGTATGCGCCTCGGCAGTCCGCCGCTCTCGGGCGATGTCCACTTCCCACCGCGGGCCAGGTTAAAAGTCTTGAGGTACGCAAGCGGTTGTGTGCTCCGCTGAGAATGTCCCTGTCCTTGAGAATCCATTCCCCCTAGATAGGCGCTAGAGATGCATTCTGGTGAGGACTTGGAAATATGTGCGCAGATACTGCAGAACCGGGGGTGCGTTGCAGTGAACCCCCTCCCCCCTTCCCCGAATGGAGATGGGTTCACTAAGGGGGGAAGGGGGGAGGGGGTTCACGATGCGTCGCCCACGATGCGTCGCCCATGATGCGTCTGCATTTGGAGCAATATGCATCACAAATGGGAGCAGGGGGTCCACGTCGATTGCGCCTGTCTGTTGGAATGGCACAGGTACTCTCGTGCAAAGTACTCGCACAAACAGGTGGAGAACTCATGTGCACACATAGAGGAGCAGGCAGATAGAGCAACGGGAACCAACCCATCGCAACGAGCCACCTAGGATACCCTTTTTGCACGCGCGTATGGGGTCGCAGCACAGTTCCCACCCACCAACGGATATCCGGAAATGGCACTATGAGGAGCTACCCACCGCTTATAGTGCCCACACCACAAACCCGTGTATATGTGTCGCATAGAACTACCCACAAGCTGGGTCACAACCAAGTTCAACATCCACAAGCTGGCACACAATGCATCAACCTCATGGTAAGCCACTACAAGCTCCAAGGTCCTAGAGAAAAACAAATTGGCATGGCACAGAAACATCAACCTCGCAGCTCGGCAAAATGGGCAACCACCAACGAACCCCCTAGTCTGCATCTCCTGCCGCGTCCTCGTCCGGGAAAACTTGAAGTGCTGGATCGTGGTCCAAGTCACACTCCTCGTCGTCCGTGAGGTCCGGAGAAGACATGTCCTCCCCCGGGGTGGTGGGGTTGCCCACATGCGGCTCCGTGCCCATCTCGTCCCGACCTGGGGCCTCGTCTGGACCCTTCGGCTGTTGCTGGTCAGCGTCGTCTAGTGGTCGACAGGGTGCACATGCACACAGGGAGGGACATGGGGGGTGTGGGCGGAACACTCGCAAGTGGCGGGTCCAGCGGAGTGTCTGGAGACATGGTGCATGCTCTGGGAGTTAACATATGGAGAACGTCAAGTGTCAGCATGCAATGTGAGATCATGACAGCACGGGGTCATCGTGTTTGGCCATAGCATTGATTACATGACACACGCTCGCTCGGGGGGGCACGGGGGGGGGTCAAGGGGACGGATGGGGAAGTGTTAATGGCTGAGAGAGGGAAAGATCATAGAATGCGAAAGGCTGCATGGGATGGCAAGGGAAGAGAGCGGATATAGATGCATGGAATGCATGAAAAGATACCAGAGAGATGCAGCAGACATGCATAGAACTCCCGATCATTCCTACGCCCGATCATGAAGGGTGTGTGCTCACCTCCGCACCGTCCACACCCTCTGCTGTCGCCGATGTGAGGGCATGATGCTTGGACCGAGGTCGCGTTTTTGGATATGGCTCCTCCAATGCCACCCTCCACTCTTGCCAGCGGAACCAATTCCGCCGCCTGACGAGAGCCCTCACGTCGTCCTCGGTGCAGCCGTCGAGCGCCGTCTTCTCCGCTGACTTGAGCTCCATTTTGAACTTGATGCCCGCTTCAGGCCGAATGACGTATGCCTCGGCGGCATAGGCGTGTGCGGCATCCTCCTTGGATGTGTACGACCCCAGCCGCATCTGCTTCTTACCCTTGGGCCTGCACACAAGACGCCCGTACCACTTATTCCACTCGGAGTGGAACGCCAGGCCTGTCCACCCATACTTGGAACCTCTCCCCGGGTTTCCCACCTTTCCCTCGCCCGCGGCACGCACGCCCTCCCCGCACACAGCCTCTGCTGGGTCTGCCGCGTTGGTATGCAGGCCGTGCGAGGGTGGGGCATGGCTGCTGCCGCGAGCTTCGCATCGAGCCGGGCCGTGGCACCCGTGCTCGCGGGTGATGGTGCGCACGAGCCATCTCGTGGAGCCATCTGCGCATCGTGGCAAGGCTCGCCTCGCTGGGACATGGGATGCTGCAAAGGTTGCTGCTGGTTGGGCGCATGCTGGGTAGACTGGGTCCCTGCAACACCCGTGTGCACCTGTGTGGGCATCACCGGTCTGGTGCTCCATAGCTGCGGCTAGGTCGCCTGGGATGGCGGACGGAAGGGCGACATTGGCGGAGGCACGGCCTGCTGCTGCATCTGCTGCTGCACCATCAGCATCTGCTGCTGCAAGTGCTACATCTGAGACTGGAGCTGCAGCTGTGTCGGTTGCGCCTGCTGCATGCCTGTAGGCTGTCCCTGCTGCAGCTGCTGGGGCGGCAGTGGCAAGCCCGTCAGCTGATTCTGCAACGCCTGATGCTGCTGCTGCACATCGTAGCGCTCGGGAGGGTATGGATAATACACACGTGGCGGAGGCAGACGTGGAACCTGTCCATCCAGGTACAGGGGTGGGTATTGCTGAAGCGCCGAGGGCGGTGCCTGCTGGGGAACCATCTGCTGGTGCTGCTGCATAGGCAACTGACGGATATGTGTCGGCAGAGCAGGTGGCTCCCATATGTGTCCCCAATCCTTCAAAGGCCCCCATGACTGGCGAAGGGACCGGTCCGGCCGAGACGTTCTGATACTGCAACCCCTGAGCCTGCACCCCCTACTGCAGCCCCCCGTGCAGCTGCAGTCTATGAGGGATCACTCCCTGCTGATGCGTCACTTGCTGCTGCACGCCCTGCTGCTGACGTCCTGTCGGATGCGCACCAGCCGGCTGCATCTCCAGGCGTTGCACCCCAGGTTGTGGTATCCCCTGCCGCTGCCCCTCCTGCTGCACAAGCCCCTGCTGCTGCACCACCTGCTGCTGCACCCCCTGCTGCTGCAGCACGTGCTGCTGCCATGCTGCTGCACCCCATGCTGCTGCACCCCATGCTGCTGCACCCCATGCTGCTGCACCCCATGCTGCTGCACCCCATGCTGCTGCACCCCATGCTGCTGCACCCCATGCTGCTGCACCCCATGCTGCTGCACCCCATGCTGCTGCACCCCATGCTGCTGCACCCCTCGCTGATGGATCCCCTGCTGTTGCGTGCTCTGCCGCTGCATCCCTGGCTGCTGCGCACCCTGGTCCAGCATCCCCTGGCGCTGCAGTCCCTGATGATGTTGACACTGCTGCACCTCCCGCTGTGTCAGCGGGCTCCGGTGCGGCCACGTGCGTCGTCACATGCAAACCCTGCGGAACCGCATACTCAGCGGCACAACGAGAAGGCGACTGAGCGGACGAAGGCGAGCGCATATCCGGCAGGCTGCGAGGTGCGTCGTCGCGGTCAGAGGGATCCCGCGTCTCGTCGATCGGCGGGTGGCGCGTCCACGTCTCGTCATCCCGGAACAGGCAAGCCTCTGACAGCAGCTGCTTGTTGGAGTTGCTGCTTGTTGGAGTACCCGATGGCTCTGCCAAGTGCGACCACCATTGCGTGTACAAAATCCACTTTCTGCTCGGCTCGAGCCAGATGGGCCGCATGGTTGCCATTGTTGCTTGGAGCAGGTTCGTCATCGCCAAGCATGATTGTGCCATCCACGTCCATGCGCGGCTACGGCTGGGGGGGGGTCAGAATATGGGCGCGGACCAAGGACGGCATCAACTCGTGCGCAGCGTGCAGGCACACATCTGCGCGCAGATTCCGGCGGTAATGCAGGGCGCTGACTCCCTTGAAATGCGCCCACTCGCGCACGGTCGCGAAATCGGACGTAACAAGAGCCTCGATGTATTGGCACACGTTCACCACGGAATCGTAGTTGTTCTTCTGAAAGGGGATCTAATGGTCCTGCATGGTGGACGACGGCGCGGGTTTAGTGGGAGGGTGTGGTGCAACGGGCTGTGGTGGGCAACTGCACATGGCGCTCGTGCACGAGATGCCTTACCTTCATCGTGATGCATCGGGCTTCCTTCAGGTGTAGCTGCACATCCGCCACATCCGCGTCGGGGTGGTACCGCACGCACGCCAGCTCCAGCAGCCTGCCGCATACAACAGGAGCTGCGTTAATCCCGACGCAGCAGGCGCCTTAAACAATCGACATGCCCGTGGTCGAGTAGCACTCACTTTCTGGTAGCTTCGAAAGGCGCCTTCGTTTAGCCGTGGAGACCCAAGCTGTCATACAGTATGAGCGCGCTTTTGGGATCACGATCCACCATGTCCACCCCAGGGAGGAGGCGACATGGCGCCTCCACCACCATCTGAGAGTAGTGGTTCCTGCAGGCTGCGCAATATTACACACACTGCTGTCAGACTAGGCGAAGCAAACGTTACGCACTTGGATACCGCGACGCCGATGCGCCCACGTACCTAGCGTAAACAGGTATGAGAATGAAGTCGTACTGCAACAGCGCCCGTTCGCACCCCTATCTTGGTACTCGGTTGAAATCTGTGGCATACGAGTACGCCTTTGCATCGAGGGCTATCCATGCCTTGCGGTTGGTCTTCTCTGGATGACGCAAGCTCAGCAGGCTGCACATGGAACAACCAATAACGTATCAGCCCTGCACGCGGTTTCGTCTCGAAGGTTACACATGTGGCCTAATAAACACGCACCCAAACATTATGGAAATCGAGGATGGAGTCCGTCAAGCACTTCTTGTCGGCGAGAGTAACCGCATCCTGCCCTTCCACCACGCACCCGAGTCCCTGATGATTGTACAGCGATATCGTAGCGAAATTGGAATAGTCGCGCGACTTAATGACCTGCACGACAAGGTCGTCGGGCTCGGAGAAGATTTCTACCACCTCGTCATCGCCAGCCTCTGCATCGCTCTGCTCTCTTACCCCCTCGCTAGGTGTCTCCTCAGCTCCGGCCATGGATTTTGCGGCAGCCGCGGTGCGAAGCCTCTTAGCAAGTGCCGGATCCCCTTTTGACGCCGACGCACTTGCGATTGCTTTACCGCGTGGTGCAGCTGATCTCGCACCTGCCGCTTTCGGCAGGGGCTTTTTCTTCGATGCAGGAACCATCATCCTAATGGGCGTTGGGAGTTTCTGGGCTTAACTGCGATAACGACACGGTCATATGGGAATCAATACATCATTGCCTAACACACACGACTGACCTCAGAAATGCATATCCTTGCGACATGCTCTTCTACAAAACCAGAGGATGCATGAGGGAGGGTTGGTAGGGAAGGGGATGGCCTTTATTGCGCACCAGTGCAAACCTCTTTGAGGTGTACGACGCGACGACACGTTGACAGGTGGCGGCGGCGGACTAGATGGCGATGCATAAACAACTGGTTTCATGGCAATCATTTTGGCACAAAGAACAAGATATGAATATTGCACGCCACACGCAACATATGACGCATGTTTTGTCACCTCGGTGACGAGCATGCACACACGTGGCGATAGCCCCCTGCAGTGTTCCCTCCATGTACAATAATTTTCACTGCTGCTTGGTCTTGGACAAAATAAAAGTGGGGTGTACACCTTGAATTAGCATATAGAACACGTACATAGATTGCCACAACTAGGAGCTAGCCTAGGAGCACACGGTCGTGGCTCGGCAGAGCTGTGACGTGTGGTTCGTAAAATGGCGCGGAGTGCTCAAATCTAGGCACGCAATAGCAAGGCGGACATTTATGTATGCTGCTTGTCAGGAGATCACATTTGGGGCCGCAATTTGAATTTCGTGGCACAGCTCCACGGCAACCCCGTTATAGCAGTGTACGCCTTACTGACTTAACCCGTGATAAGGGAATACCATTTCCTTACACCCTCCCCCCTCCAAGGTATGGTCTTAGCTAAGGCCGCCAACGTCGCGCACATTGCGAGACTGGAGGTAGACCCGTAACATTGGGTAATTTTTGACCTGTGCCAGGGGCACCCAACTGTTTTCCAGGGCCGTCCGGTCCTTCCAAGATATTAGAAACTCGATCAGGCAAGCCCCTCGAGGATCTCTGATCTAATGGCTGAGAACCTTTGCCGGTTCGATAGTAGGCTCGGCGAGCGGTCGGATGTTCGGGTTCGTTTGGTGACTTGGTAGCTTACCGGTGCTAGCGATGTATGGTCGAAGTAACCACACGTGAAGTGATGGGCTGACGTTAGGTGGCCGGTAACAGTAAGTGGGCTGCAACGGAAGATATCATGTGGCTGATAGTAAATGGTCCACAATAGAGGGGGCGGGGTTTTGGGATGATGGGCAGTCAAAGGTTCTGGATGTCGAGCAGTCCTAAGTCTCCCACCTGCTATGTCACGGCTCGTTGGTGTAGATCGGCGTTGCGCTTAGAAATTACATTTGCGCGCTTAGTGGCTTCAGCTGCTCGCTCCCAGGCATTCTGTAAGATTTTGGCAAACAGTTGGGCTCTGAACCCCACTCACCAATCTCACCTCTTTAGTTGGGTTCTGAACCCCACTCACCAGTCGCACCTTTGCAGTTGGGTATTGAACCCCACTCACTCGTCTCACCTCTTCAGTTGGGTTCTAAACCCAAATCACCCGTCTCACCTCTACAGTTGCGTTTCCAACCCCACTCACCCGTCTCACCTCTACATTTGGGTTGTGAACCCCACTCACCCGTCTCACCTCTACAGTTGGGTTCCGAACCCCACTCACCCGTCTCACCTCTACTGTTGGGTTCTGAACCCCACTCACCCATCTCACTTCTGCAGTTGGGTTCTGAACCCCACTCACCCGTCTTACCTTTCCAGTTGGGTTATGAACCCCACTCACCCATCTCACCTCTCCAATTGGGTTCTGAACCCCACTCATCCGTCTCACCTCAATAGTTAGGTTCTGAACCCCACTCACCCGTCTCACCTCAATAGTTGGGTTCTGAACCCCACTAACCTGTCTCACCCCTACAATTGGGTTCTGAACCCCACTCACCCACCTCACCTCTACTGCTGGGTTCTGAACCCCGCTAACCCGTCTCACCTCTACTGTTGGGTTCTGAACCCCACTCACCCGTCTCACCTCAATAGTTGGGTTCTGAACCCCACTCAGACGTCTCACCTCAATAGTTGGGTTCTGAACCCCACTGACCCATCTCACCCCTACAGTTGGTTTATGAACCCCACTCTCCCATCTCACCTCTACAGTTGGGGTCTGAACCCCACTCACCCGTCTCACCTCTTTAGTTGGGTTGTGAGCCCCACTCACCCAAATCGATCGACCGGGGCCCACCCAGACCCCAATCGATTGACCGGACCCATCTGGATCAATCGATCGAGCCCGTCCGAATCCGGCCCTATCCGGATCCGAATCAATCGACCGGACCCCACCCGGACCCCAATCGATCGATCGCACCCATCCCAATCGATCGATGGAGCCCATCCAAATCCGACCCCATCCGGATCCGAATCGATCGACCGGACCCCATCCGGACCCGAGCCCATCGTCCCGGACCGATACAAATCCAGCCCCATCCGGATCCGATTCGATCGACCGGGCCCCATCCGGACCCCAGTAGATCGACCGGACCCATCCAGATTGAACCCATCCGAATCCGAACCCATCCGAATCCGACCCCATCCGGATCCGAATCGATCGACCGGACCCCATCCGGACCCGGGCCGATCGTCTGGACCCATCCGAATCCAGCCCCATCCGGATCTGGATGCATCAACCGGGCCCCATTCGGACCCGAATCGATCGCCCGGACCCATCCGAATCCAGCCCCATCTGGATCCGAATCGATCGACCGGGCCCCATCCGGACCCCAATCGATCGACCGGACCCATCCGGATTGATCGATTGAACCCATCCGAATCCGACCTCATCTGGATCCGAATCGATCGATCGGAACCCATCCGGACCGATCGTCCGGGCCCATCCAAATCCAGCCCCATCCGGATCCGGATGGATCGACCGGGCCCCATCCGGACCTGAATCGATCGACCGGACCCATCCGAATCCAGCCCCATCTGGATCCGAATCGATGGACTGGGCCCCATCCGGACCCATCCAAATCCAGCCCCATCCGGATCCGGATGGATCGACCGGGCCCCATCCGGACCCGAATCGATCGACCGGACTCATCCGAATCCAGCCCCTCAATACAAGTAGAAAGGTGACTGTCGTGTAGTGGCTGACGGGGCGTTATTATACGCGAACTCAATGAGTGGCAGTTGCTGCTCCCAGTCGGCCACGTCATCGCAGGTGGCACGAATCAGCTGCTCCATTGTCTGATTGGTTCGTTCGGTCTGTCAATCAGTCTCAGGATGGTAGGCTGAGGCGAATTGCAGGCGTGTGCCAAACTGTTCCAAGAGGTTGCGCCAGAAGTTACTGGTGCATTTCGTGTCACGATCTGAAATGATGACGGATGGGATTCCGTGGAGGCGAACGACGGTCGCGATGAAGAGGCGGGCTGTTTCTTTGGCTGTGATGCTTTTCTTGCAGGCAGCGAAGTGGGCCATCTTTGTCAGCTTATCGACGATGACGAAAATTGCGTCATTACAGCCGTCCTTGGCAGGCAATTCCGTGACGAAATCCATCGTCACCTGCTGCCCCGCGTGCTCAGGTGGCGGAATTGGCTGCAACTGTCCAGCTGGCTTCTGCTTCGGGGATTTCATGGTTTGGCAGGTTCTGAACAAAACCACATGCCGCTGCACGTCCCCTTGCATGTCAGGCTAGAAATAATATCTTGTCAACTGCTGCCTGGTTTTCTCCACTCCAAAATGCCCCGAAACTGTACTGTCGTGAGCTTCTTGTAACACTGATTCTCGTAGTAGGCTGTACTCTGGTACCCAGATGCGGCCAGTCCCTGTCTTTACGCAATAAACTCCCTTAGCTATTGCGAGCTGTTCGTATGCGCCTGACGTAAAGAATCTGTCCGTCTGGTACCCGTGGGTGAATAGACCTCTTAATAGCGGGGAAGTTTTGTGAGAGTGCAATCTCGTTACGCTTCATTCTCATATTTTTTCTCTATCTCATTCTTTTTCCTATTATCTTTATCTCATTAATTTGGTTTCCTATTTCCCCATTCTCATTATCCTTTGGGTTATCCTATTATTATTACATCACCGACCAAGCTCGGGATGTACTAGCGCACCGTATCTAGCATAATCCTGCCGTAATCTCTTAAAGCCAATCGCCTCGCATGGCTATACGCAGGGTGATTCTATTTCTAGAAGGGTCTATTCCCTTTGGATAGGATCAACCTGGTTACCTAATATACCTTGGATCTATAAAAGCGCCTTGTATCAATCAATAGTGCAACTTTTCCTCGACACATTCGATCCTGTGACACTTGGTAATCAGAGCTTTTCTCACTCAGCCGCATTCAGCTAAGCAGAAGCAGCGGGAAAACCTGCCTCGAAAAACCGCCGGGGGTGACTAATTCGACGCCGATTCTGGTAAGCACCAGGTCCGTGTTTTTTGAATTAACCCCTCCGCGCTTGTTTTGAACAGGATGGCGAACTTCGACAATGCCGAGGTTACCCAGCAGCTCTTCGCGAGCATCGCCGCCCTTCAGGAGGAGATGCGAGCCGATCGTGAAGCTTGGCGAAACGAGTTCGAGCGAGTAACTCGACTCATCGGCGCACAGCACGAAATGACAACGGCGACGACGCAGCAGTCGCAGCAGTTTCTCGAGGCTCCAAAACCGCGCCCACCTGAGCCGTTCGATCCGAGCAATCGAATTTCCAACGTCCGCAGTTGGATCACCGGCATGGAGATCCACTTCGCAGCTGTCGGATGGAGCTAGCCAGTATGGGACGGTCAACGCGTATGACTCGCGGTGACACTGATGCGAGGGCCGGCACTTCAGTGGATCGGCGGCAACAATACCTTCATCCACGGCGAAGCCACGTGGCAGCAGTTCCGCATCGACCTGCCGCTTAGAGCCGAAAAAATCGGGTTTCCTTGCCCGGGAAAAAAATCATCGCCATCGACAGTACACGCAACAGATGGAGGAATTTTATAACCACATTCTCGACCTAACCGAAGGGGAAAAAGTACAGTCGTATCTTGCCTGGCTGAAGACCGAAGTCAAACGACAGGTAGCAGCGACAAATTACGCGAGCTATTGTGACGTCGTTTCGACAGTGGAACGGTTTGACATGGTCAACGCCGGAACACGACGGGCGCACGTCGGCAGTACGCGACAAAGCGA